TACCTTAGTCACTGAACCACCATCCCTATACTGTTTATAGCTCTAGATGCTTATTATTTGAATTTCTCAATTCAATTATCTAAATATATTGAATCTTTTATTTTTATTACTTAGAGTATTAATCATCGGTAACAGAACCGGATGGAAACTCTACACTGTGTCTATGTGTACATATGTACGTGAACTATACTTCATTCAGTTGCCTTAGTCTAATCTTTTTTTATTTCGAAATCGTTTTTATCCTATGAGTCAGCTTTGGTGTGTAATTATAGGTCGTTACCTTACTTTAGTATATGAATTTTCACATGTAACTATAAATGAACTGAATTTTTCAAATTATTAAGTATAATAGTGATAATGTCAATATCATGTTTTATAATTATTAGAAAGTAGATGGAATTGGTCCAAGTATATTGTTTATCCAATTCATGCGTGTACGTACTTGTATTCGATTTTATGCATAATGGACTATTACCTTTGGTAAAATATGTTTTCTACTTTATATATATATAAAGGGAGAGTCAAAAATCCGGACGACTAATTCTATCGATTTAATTATTATCATTAAGCTACTTTCCATTTAATCTACGTATATATATCGTTTTATCAGTTTACTGTTTTCATATATTCTGATTACTTATCATTTTCGTATATAATGAATAATTGTTAGATTGTTTTAAATAAAAGCCAACTTATTGTACTTATCGATAGTAGAGTAGTAAGAAATGTCATGTCTGGGGTACAGAATATTAATCAAGCCCTCCCTATCTGTTGAGTTTAAAAAGTAAATTACTATGTTAATCAGCTCAATAACGTGATATATTGTATCTTGAAATTAAATGGGTGATAACAGTCAGCAGGAATCCTCAGAAATAATTTTCATGCGAATTAGCACTTGTCGACTAAGCATACTTAAAGTACTTAAAGAAATATTACTCTTGCATAGATTCGAATCGGCATCGGACAGCATCATAACCACAGAGAGAGAGATTACAATCAAACTATTTTCGTTGTAATTAAATTTCTGTATGAGATATTTACATTAGTTTATAACTGAGTAGTAGTTTGGTATGTGCGCTACTTATATCGACATAAGTAGTATATGACGTTAGTCAGGAACAGAATGTCTGGCAGCAGAGAGACAAGAGGATCGGACAGTAAAGAACGGGAACAGAATGCAATTTGTATGAAAATGCAAGAACAATGAAGTCTGAGTCATTATGAGACAATTGATGGACATTTTGCAAATTACATATTTACTATTTGATTGTTAGATTTTATTGACAAGTCCTGTAATTTTGTGTCAAATACATTCGATTGTCCCCACTGGTGTTTATGTTCACTACAGTAGTAGTCATTATTGTTTTATATAGTTAGTTGTACTCTAATTGGTCAATGACACTATCCCGTATGCAAAATACATTACGTAGTTACACGTACACAATGTTAGTTGTGGAATTCCCCAATTATGATTAAACAATACTTGTGGGGTTTATGATGAACAGTTTATACATAATGTATATACTTATTGACAGATTATTCTTCATCATTTTGATTACTGAGGGATAAAATCCCTAATTGACAGATGTGTTAGCATGTATTGATGACTAATTTAATTTATGGAATTTCGTGTTTACTTTTTTTACTTCTGAGATTTATCTTTGTTTATCATTACTAATATAATGTATACATTAGTTATTGTTTATTTTCATTCAATCGAAAGTTTTTGTAAAGATTAGTTTGATTTTGAAAATTTTATCTCCAGACTGACTGGCTGATCTCCTAATCTTGGGAATCAATGTGAACCAGGAAGCACTAGGCAATTGTAGTATCAGAAGTAAGTATGGTGTTACTTACCAATGAAACAATAAAATAAATCTAATCTATACTGACAACCTTGGGAGAACCAGTCAAATCGGATTTTCATATTAAATTCAAAGTATAGTGAAGGATAGCATGTATTTTATTAGGAATCAAATAAAAGTCGTTTTTACCTAGTTCGTAAAAATGCTTAGAATGGTTAAAAATACCTCTTGTGCAACCGTACAAAATGAATGTGACTCGATGAGTACACTCAACTATAAGAAATATCTCTAACTAATGGAGATTACATCTATGTATACTATAGATGTGATTTAAGGCATAGTTCAAGGGTATTTATGCGGTTAGAAATTATTCTCTCACTCTAACTCCTGACTTTAATTCTTAACCTCAAACGTTCATTAATTTGTAAATAATATATGACACTAATTTATTAATAAACTAATGAGATTGTAGATAGAGTCTCTTGAATTTTTGAGCGAGATCTCGATAAATATTGTCATTTGTTTGAAGTTGTGCAGTATTGATTTAGGCATTTGAAAACCACTATCTGACACAAATGAAATTTGTTTCCATAATTATTCTCTCGTGTACTACCTAGACACACATTCCTGTTGTATAACTCGATACTGAAAGTCGAATATTAAATGTATTAGGGTTATGTGTATTTTAGAAATGTTAACCGGCAGTTAGGATAATTGCGAATTTAACTTCGTAACCAAAACGTTGAATCACTTATGATTCAGTTTATATATGATCATAGATTTAGTACACTAAGTAGATAAACGGACAAATTTAAGAAGTGTATTTTTATTAAGGGGCATGGTCTATGAGAAATAAGTACTGAATTATTAACAGCAGGATAAAAATGACACGCATCTATTAGTCACATGATTGTATGCTTTTATATCTGTTCAGATCAGAATAAATTTGTATAGGTAGGTTGTGTAACAAGAGTGAGGGTGGGGCTGTTAAACTCACTCAGAAGTGCGTCTACACACACTACTGACATAGATACTTTCGTGTTGTCATAATGCAAGCTGTATCTAGTTCTCACAAATCCTCCAGGTGATAATCAATCTAGTGATGATAAACTCCACTCTTATTATTTATTTTGTTTGTTGAAATGAAAATTTCCTGTGAGATTCATTCGTCCATTTTTTTTTCTTATTTATATTTTGTTTACAATTGATTCTGATATGTGATATCAGTAGTATCATGTTTAAAATGTTATTCATCGTATTATATGATGAAATCAATCTTGATTATTGTTACCAGTTCTATGAATTTGTTTTCAACTGTTCTACCATTCATTATACTGTTATACGTGTAATTGGTTAGCAGTACCAAGAAGAAAAATAATAAATAAATAAAACTTTCTACAACTATCAGTTTTTGAGCACGAGTTACATTTTTTTCAGTTGGCGAAATTTCCCATTGTCTATAATTAAAATCGATAATATAAACCTTTTGACTGTTTATACAATCGTAAATTGATATGCATAGTTCTATAACGGTTTATATTGAAATGTGTACATTATTCACTAGTCTTTTTTTCTTTTTAAGTTATTATATCAGTAGTTATTAAGTTTCATTATTAATCTTGATAGAATTGTTATTGTTATTACATTGTTGATGTAGTTCACTATTCAATTAGATGCTTACTACATTTAATACGATTGTACAACAATCTTTCGTGTTATCCTTCAGTATTAGAGAAATAATTTTCTTGGTTTTGTTTAGCGGTTGATCTATCGACTTATAATTACTCAATAACATACAGATTTTGCATTCAGTTTTATTTTTGAACTCAAATGAATGGTAAGTTTAATTGTATGATAGTCTTACTAACAACTGACGATGTTATTGAGTATTTTATATTAATCCTTACAAACATTCGAATGAATGTATTAGAAACATCATTATACTTGAGATAGATAGTGGCTAGTATTGGAATCCAAGATGTGCGTTTCGTCCACTTTGGGGCTCGCAGGTACATCCAGCTGACGAGTCCCAAAAAGGACGAAACGCGCATCCTGGATTACACTGCTAGCCACTATCCATCTTTGCTTATAAAGCTTGTGAATTAAGGCAATACACACAGTATGTACATATGCTAATAACAGAATGATCAATTGCAGTTTTAAATCACAATGGAAAGATTCAAGCAAAACAACAATAAGTGAATCATTATACTTAGAGACATATTTAGATTTACATAGTCATGTATTTCGATCATATTACTATAGTAATCTATCAAACTATTTATTTATACTAGTCACTATTAACTCAAAAATTTCAATATTTCAAAAGTAGTACCAAGATAAGTCTTTAACCATGAACTATTTTTTTATTTAAAACTAATATGATGGATATTCGAGACTATCTCACAGTTTCTCATCCTTTTTTTACTTTAATGATCAATATTAAATATTAGTTCATCAGTCAGTTCGTTGTTTTTTTAATCGACACCGTAAAAACAAAATGTTTTAAATGTTATCCTATTTCTTTCTCAATTTTTTTTGTATGTGGTGACTCATCTCGAGGAGAGTTTGATGGGACAGAAATAATATTGATTAATTTTTTTTATCAGACAATTATATTTTAATACGGATTTACTTCTACTATTTCAATATGAAATGAATTTCTCCTGATATTAACTTATGTATATCTATTCAAAAATCTAATTGTAGAGTGGTAATTTAATTGTTGGAATACGTTGTTTCTAACCATTGACTTGTAGATTTCAAATTTACCACAGTGATATAAAGTTTAGCGAGTCAAGGACCTATTATTAGGCTTTATATGGAAAGTTTTACTCGAAGAAAAATACTGAAAACTGTGTTTCATAGATGAGTTACATGAGAGTAATTATGCGTTGCGTTATATATATATATATATATATATGCAACAGCTGTTTACCATTTAAGACTGGCAAATAAATTTGTACAAAGGTAGATAAAAGCACACCTTAAACTGTACATTATCGCATATTTGAATCAGCATCCTATTGGCTGATATTTCATAACAAATGTTTTTGTGCCCTTGACCTTGAGGCTTCTTATTACGACCGTGTCACATATAATGATTGACAAATGTTTACTATAGTTTGCATAAACATTCAGAAACTACCGATTAACTAATCGTTATACATATACATATTTTTTCGAATAAATCAGGTAGTTAAAAATCGTTACGATGGAACTTTGGGTTGTATGGACTTGAATTTTCGAAAAGACCGTCTTTCTTTCCGACCACGACCACGTGAACTAGTAATCCCAACAAAAGCAACAACGTTTCCAAGGATAGTTGGTTACGATTAAATATTTTGTCATTTTTTCACAGCATTTCTATTACAGATAAACTTGCCATAAGCCACATATATGTATATATATATCATGTACATGTATGTATTTTTTCATCCATTTTTGTACAATTATCAAATCCTTGCCAGTATGACTTTATTTCTATTGAGAAACAGATTTCTATATTTAATAAATTATTATTACTATCAGATATAATTGTATTCTAAAAATGTACATTAATAAATAATTTGAAACAATAAAAGACAAGAAATAGGATAACTTCATATGAAGTTTACTATCTCTTATGGACTGACTAATTATTCATGAAATAGATTTCCTGTTTCTCTACAATTTATTGCTAAGTGATTTATCACGTAGTACGCGTTCATTAAATGACCGCATTATTAAAACTGTCAATTTCCCATTAATACTCGTAATTAGGATTCATTTTATGTATGGTGAGAAGCTAAAAATGTTATTGTACATAAACATTTACCTGACACTTCGTTGGGTACCAACAACAATAGCCGATTTCAATGGTCATGCCTTAATCATTTGAATAATACAAGGCTGTTTTATTATGTAAGCTAGTTAGTTTGTTACTGGTGTGGTAGAGCAGACTTATTTTAGGTAGGCAAATTCCTCAAATCGCATAAATCTGGCCTATGTTGTTGAACTGGCCAGTATGCGACTAATGTTTAGAGGGTCAAATCGATTGTTACCGACCGGTAAAGTGATAATGTATTTTGTCAGTTAATGATTTGCAACAGGAGTACGTAATACACTTTGGAAAGGACAGGAAGCTGGGTGGCTTGTGTTACACGGAACTTTCGAAAATTGTACAATGTCTAAACTATTATTTATTTAGCGAATGACCATTGATTTTTTATGCAAGGTATCAAGAAGTCGGGGGAGATAAATTTTTTTCGACTTTAATTTCCTAGCAAGAGTGTGTTTGTTATGTAACCCTAAAGGTGGCAATCCTACTAGAGAACAGGATTTCGCTTACTATTGTTAAATCCAGGATATCCCCTACCCATCTAGCACCTTATATATTTTCGAGACAGCTATCATGTCATCATTAAATTATTAAATGTGAGTAGCAGCCTCAGGATTTGTTGAGACAACAGATTGGAGGCATATAACTTCTTCAATGTAGTCTGATTTGAATCCACAGGATACTTTATGTACCTTTTAATATCGGGACATAAAACAGGATTTTGTTTTCCAATTATCATGATGAGAACGATCTGTCTGCTTAATTGAACAAATGTAGTGTATGTTTGTCGTTTGAAATAGAATGTAAACAACTTAATAATTAACATGTATCAGGTCCTGCTATGAATTTATCGTTAAATGCTAAGCGACAATTTTCCAACAAGCAATTTGCAATAAACTTTCACGATAGCGTAGACGGATATCGCAGTCCCAAGTAAAAATTAGCAATATTTACGTCTCAAGAGTATGTTTACTCGCATCTTTGAATACAGATTTTGAACCAAGTTGGAGCAATACTTCTTTCTCTTATAATGAATTCACTGTCAAATAATAATTACTGATTTTCCGAATGTCACTCGGATCATGGGAAAGTGCATGGCATTGTTGATATCCAGTCAGAAAATTATAACTCATAATGTGCGACATTGATCTACCACTATGAGTCGACCCGAATCCTTTGAACGGGACTTTTCTGAATGTAGCACTGCATAGAAAGTTCAGTCGATTATCATTTGCTGGGGCAATATTACAACTCGTAAGCTAGTTCAACTCCTGATGACTGAGTAGAATATTGGCATATGTATATTAGTGGATTAAATTAAATCGTACTATATTCTGCTTCAATTTATTGTGATAATAATCTGAGCTATTTACATGATTGTTTTATCAAACTAACAGTGTAGATTAGCATTAGAATTATAAGGAAAACTACAATGGTCCTGCTGACATTCAATACAAATTGTTTGTTAGCATTAAAAATACTGAGTATGAAGTGCGTAACATCAAGATGTTTGTGCAGCTACATCATACGTTATACTCACTTCTAGATATTGTGGAGTTTATACTTCCTTCAGTCTAGACCAGTTACTAAAATACTTACCCACATTCCTATGTTTTTAACTATTTGAGGATTTACAAGTCTTTTAAGGACATGATTATTTTTAGAAAGATTCAAAGCATAGGAACGACTATTAGCAGAAACAGAGTAAGGAAAAAATCAGAAGAAACAATAGGAAGAATATAAATTAGTGTAAACTGGCATGATTATAATCACATCAGTGAAATGCGTTAACTGGAAGACACGACAAAAATGTAATGAGGGTAATCAACTAGTAATTAAAAGGGATCAGTGTACATCAAAGTATATCACAGCTCATAACAAAGTGTTTGGCAGTTTTTTAAGTTATGGTCTTTTGAGTTTAGTAGTGATTACTCTTCCAAATCCATAAGTTCTTTGATAGCTAGTTGGACTTCTTTTGGATCTAGTGTGACTGAAAGTCGTAAGTTTTGCAACTCTAATTGACATAATGCACCTGCACGAATGAGAACAGTAGCAAGATCATCTGCAAGTTTGGAAGTTAGCGTAAGTTTACTTGGAAGTGTTTTTACTACAGGAAGTCGTAAGTAATTATTGACCTCTGTTGATGAAGGTTTGGTTTCTGAAGAATGCAAGCTACAGTCCTCAGATAGCCGTTTGATTATTTCCGACTGAGTAGCGATCAGTATCACACACAGTGCAGATACTGATTCCGGAGCCATACTATTACTGTTGAAGGTCTGCGAAAAACGGCCTAACTTGCAGTCTAATACAAGAACACCGGATGACTGCTCTAAGTATTTAACGATTGCATCACGTAGTGATGAACCATTCTCAAGAACTGTATTATAAAACTGTACGGATTTACTGTCCAGTATAGCTCGACTGACCATTCGAGTTTTGTAGTCATCTGCACTGTTAATAATTGGACATTTAGAATCATCTTTTGATGAATTCTGAAGTAAGCTAATATCCCGATATGTCTCATTGTTGGCCAGGTTAAATTTTGTACAACCATCAACAGGTGGATTTTTTGGAGACATTTTATTTGATGATTTTGATTGGCGTAAGCAGCAGACCAGAGGTAAGAGCAGTTTGATCCACTGATTACGGGCACTTTTGATATTATTTTCTGCTGGCTTAACATAATCCATATTTGACTGGTTAGTATTTGTAGCTAGTCTGGGTGTGGTGGTATGGTCTATCCATATAGGTAAAGATGGTAACCTAAGGAACAAAATGAAGATGTGGTTATTTATTAGACTTTACAGCTAACAGAATATCTTCGATTATAAGCTGTGCACAGTATGAAATGAATAATGTTTATCTATTGAATCGTGGAGAGAAAGATTCTGGAGCATGGTAGAAGTTCACTTCAAAATAGCCATGCAAATCAGTTAAATATAGGTGTAAAAGAAAATCGTAGACAGGTAGCAGGCCGATTCACATAAGTTCGTAGAAGTTGTCAGATACTAGCTTATTAATGATAATAATCTTTGTAATATTCCTTAAAAATCAAGGGTTTACCTGAATAAGCCAGAACAACCGAAATAGTTAACTATAATCAAAAGTTTTCTATGAAAAAAATCCATTGTTTTGAAAAACTGACTTTTATTAACTGTAAATATAATTAGATGTTGCTACGACAGTTGTAGAAGGTATGAATTACATGTGTGATATACTGGAACGTAATTTCTTCACAGATATAGATTGATTGTTTTAGAAACAATGATAATTATATTAACCACAGATACTTTCCCATCTGATATATAAACATACACACAGTTCTCTTTAGTTAAAAGATATGAAGTTAAACATGATTACGACAAGATTAGCTTTTTACACGATTTTATACACCAGTGACACTAATCGAAAGAAATAAGGAGAAAGCTTCAAGCGTTGATATCTATTAATTAGCATTTCGATATCAGTAACTATATAAGAATAAAGCCCATTAGTCTAACTCAACTGGAAACTTTTCAGTAAGAAGAATTATTTGACAGCTGGGTTTGGGATATTTTAACTAGTACAGTAAAAAAATATTGTTTCATAACTCAGTCACTTAAACAATCTTATCTGTTAATTATCAAGTTACGAGTTTGAGTCCCATTATATCCAAAAAGCCCTACAGTTCGACAGCCCTGTTAGCCTATAACCTAATGAACATATGCTCAGACGCTTCGTCAAGAGGCAGTTTCACAAACGGGCCACTTAAAAACAGTAGCCGAATTCCCTGAAATAGACAGTAAGTAAAAAACGATTAGCCGATTAATATCATTCTGTTAATTGATGGTGTGTCTAGAAAAACATAATTTTAGAGTATGAATAGTTTACCTCTGAAGATGTCCTGGCTTTCGCTCATCTTGACCGTTTAAATTAAAGGGTCTATTGTTTTCTTGCATTTTTTCAACATGAGATGGCAAAACGAAACTATCTTTTCTCGTAGCATTTGGTGTTAGCTGATTGTAAAGAGCTGGAGATACTTTGATTGCCAATAATTGAATCCACAATGAGATTTGTCCGCGTCTTCTTTTATCAGAGAGATCGGCTGTAAGAAAAATGAATATTACTTAAACATGGGTCACAAACTTGTTATGAAAAAGATAGGTAGAAGTGTGGAACGCAGCACAAGTATGTATAGTTTTGAATTACTAAATGTCACACCAGCAGGGTGAGTGAAAACCACTGAGTAGAAAAACAAATGAGTAAAAATAGTGGTGCTAATAGTAGTGGTGGTGGGAGCGAAACTGATTAAAGAGAAAGAGAATGACATTACTTACGAACAAGAGGAAGATTAAGGACGAATACATCTGCAACAGTATTGATGACTTTGAGCTATAACTTAGTTTCCAACCTTAGATTATTCCAAAACCTACCTAAGAGACCTAAACCATTCGGTATAACATAAACCAACGGTTAGTAATTCCACCAACCTATAGCCAAAATATAAGCTAATAAGCGAGGTGAAGGAGTCTTGCTTGCTTCCGTGCTTTAATCACAGTATCTACTATAGATAGAAGCAGGAGATTGTATTTCAATGATTAGATGTGGTACTGCAGTATTAACTCGGTCCACAAGCAGTACAAAAAGGGGTAGTTATCGAGGGGAAACAAAACGTCTTGGAAACAGTAATAGAATGAAGAATATTGTACACAAAACAAGAAATTTGGTAGGAAAATGAGTTGAGGTAGCGGATAAAAGATACAGAATAAAGCGTATATTTTTCTTAACAATATAAGGAACGGGTAAATCTGGGTTATTGGTACTGGTCATGCAACTTACAGATCTCAGTAGCCGGACTTAGTTATTTTGTAGTTACCTTTCAGTAGGCCAATAATCCTTTTATAGTGAAAACTAACATCGAGACGTTACCGGTTGAGATCTTTCTCACTGATGCAATACAAAACTTAATCTCAATATTGTTCATTCGATGCGTCAGACGGACATAAAAATATCAGTGATCACAAGCCCTTAACTTTATACGTAATCCACAGCCAGTACTAATACTTTACAGCCGTCAAATAAGACAGAGTGAACTGACGCACAATATGTTTGACTTTTGGTAATATTTAGGTTCTTCGATAACAACACGACCAGTGTTGTTATGTGTATTTTACACTTACGTTAAAAGTAAGCTAATCAAAGGACTTTCAATAATCATTTGAATGTGGACGTAGGTAATCAACATTGAAGAACCAGTCAGTCACAACGTATAACCTGGGATATGCGTGCAACGGTTCAAATTGGCACACCCCACTAGCACAGTAAAGATGGAACTGTCAAGGGAAACTTCAGAGTAGTAAAGGTATCAACAGTTTTTGTGACAAAAGACTGTAAAGATATGATTTGAGAACATATAGATTAGCGAAATAAAATGACTCCATAAAGTAAGTTAGAAACTTGGGATTTAAGGGTAGAGAAAAGGCGAATACACCAGTGGCATTGCAAAAATACTTTGAATACGTTAGCTTTGTGTTAAATTATGCATCAATATAAACCGAATCCGAAGGCAGCATTGATAGAATGACTAATGTCCAGAGAGTTTCAGTTTAGGTGTTTAGGGGGCTTTGGATGTATTCGAGCTTATCAGAATAAATCATGTCCACCACTTTGTCAGACACTTTCTAGGGAATACAAGATATTCAAAGAAAATCAACAAGCCTACTAACCATACCCTTCTAAACTTCGATGATTTCACAAATATTGCAGTGTACAAAAAACGTCCTGCAAACACTAAGCAGCTTATCACAATCTATAATCAGTTTCAGGAGCAGATAAAACGTTACTACATGCAATAACGATACTTACTACGTGTTCGTGAAAAATATAGGATAACTCACAGCATCCTGAGTTCATTCCTCCGTCGACTGATGATGGATTGATTCTCCGACTACAATCCAAGTAGCTGGCAAGTTCATGATGACCCGTATGCCGCAATGCATTAAGCAGGAGTGCCAATCCTGGTGGTGGAGCGTAAGAACATGTAGGACTTGATTTCGAGTTGATAATTCCGTTAAACACAGGGAGACCGACAGCACTCAGTAACAGAGAAGGTCGTTGCAATTTATCAGCCTGCATAATTTTAAGGCTTGATTCCTCACTGATAGCATGATGTCGGACGAGGTAATCAAGCAGAGGAGGTTGTACGTCTAGACTTTCAAACGTATCTGTAAAGCAATCAGGAAAACTTTTCGTAGTACTTGGTAGGAAGCTAGAAGTCGCCTCAGAGCCATTACCATTGTGAACACAGCTGCGGCAAAGAGAACGCACTTGAGATATAGTTGTTGGGCTTTCCAACTTAGTGATACTGGGTTCTTTTTCTTTGCATTCAGGTGTCGACTGTGATTGTGGTATTATTTTCAAGTTGAAAGTTCGTTTTGTAGCTGCTAAGTTTTCCGATGCTTCATTATATCCACTGAAACTACAATTATTGAGATTTTCGAAATATCCACCTCCATAATTTATTTTGAAGTTATTGACATGTTCACATTCTCTACTAAAACTTATCACAGTATGGTCATTACCACCACAAGAAACTTCCAACATCGATGTCTCAGTACGGACGAGGAGTAATAATTTACATAGAAATCATGCAGTATGACCAAAATTAGGGGATCATGGTATCAAGGCCAGGCATAGTTGAACCGCAGAACCAGCTGACTACTTTCATATTTCGATGATCTACAACCGTCTAAAACAACAAGGTCATTGGCCTAAAAACTGGATGTTCCAATAGCAAACAGCCTTGTGAAGAAATGAGTCTGAAAACCTTGCGATGACTTTGTCAACGAAGAGTCACAAACCAATTTGAAATTATTTTGAATATTACTACAGAAAGGACTGAGAAGTCGAGCTGCACTTATCAGAGATTATGGTTAAATTTGCTTGAACACGTAAATTGAATCTAGTTATCCTAGATTCTGATATGAGGTGAGAACCTAGCAGATACGAAGCCATGGAAGATCACGTATGTAAAGAAATCACTGCGGACAACACTTTGCTGCATGTAAGAAGGTAAACGGGTTAGGATATAGACAAGCGCTCTCTTCAAGTCTAATGTGTCCTAGTCGATTTTCTCCAATAGCCGAAAAAGTTTACTTTTCCACTACCGTGCTGGAATATTTAAACAATTCCAAGGATATGAAATGCATCTTTACCCTGCCAGTAGATAACCACGCTAACAAATCTAACAACCGTTATTTTACCAAGGTTAAATCATTTTGTGGTAGGCTAAGCTGTCTCGATCAGTTTCTCTCCTGCCGGTTGCTCCAACAGCAACGTACACACTTTCAGACTCTTGTAAACACAGTACCTGTGAATAAGTTACTGGATCTACACGAATTCGCTTGCAATTCTAAGTGTCTTTCATGTTTTATTCTCGTGCAGCATATATTTACTTTTGTCTCGCGTACACCCTCGTTTAATTGTCTCTCATTTTATTTTTTAGCCCATAGAGTAGCGTGTACAGTAATAACCTTGCCATCAGTACTTACACTCTATCTACAAGGATGACTAGCACAGGTAGTGATCTAAACCCAAAGATTATTAGTAAGTAAAAAAATCCCCGTCTCTAGAATAAAGATCATAAGAAAAGTGAAGACGATGCTAGAAAAAACCTCAAAGTAATGTTTGCAATATGGATCACCTGACCTGAATACTAAAACTAAATTTCCCACCAAGTAATCAGGATCGCACTCCTACCCAGGCCCTCACTCTAAATAAGTCTAGTAAGTAGAAGGAACTAGGAGAAAAGTGTGTTTCAGACTGCCCATTGTGTTGACTATTGGGGAGAAACAACACAAAAGTGATAACCGTATCACATACTTGTCTCTTGTTAAAGCCAGAGATTCAATATCTGAGTGTAATTTCTGTAGCGACTGTATTCACTACCACTATGATATTACAGTACCCAGGCAGTAGTGTTCGTGACTCTGGGACATTTGCCGACGGTGTAAGAAGTACACTAACGGAACTAATAAAAGAAAAGAATAAGAACACATTGTAAGAGTATCACTTCAGTCAAGCTATGTCGTATGTATGGGGAAAAAGTCGTAGCAAAAATTAGACCCTATTTATTAAGACTAATTTTAGATTCAGCAAATGTTGCAGAAGAAATTTTACTGACAGCCAAGAGACCATCGTTTAAGCGATTCTTTAATGCACGGTACAGAACATAGAAGTCACAGTCCAGCTATTGGGACACTCTATGCAGAGGAAGACTTACAGCAGTCTGTTTACGCGGAACCGGCCAACACACTGTAGACAACAATCTGCTTAAAAACCAAAAGACAGGTGCTGCTGTAGAGGAGCATCAGGTGGTGATATAAACGATCAAGTGACTATATAGCTGCCTAAGGAGACCAAGGGGACGATTGCAATAACTCAGAAACATGTGTTAGTAATTTGTTTACGTATATCAATGTGTTAGAGGAGACATGGCAATTTACAGGCAAAATAAAAACGTTGCAAGCGTTACAGGGTTTAATGTAATCAGTTACTTGGTTGGGTTGTTTTGTGGTATGATGCGTACTCTCAGTTAGATCAGATTATCGCAGTCCTAACTGAAAGATGGCTACCGCCCGATATCGTGGATGAAGAAACGTGCCTGAACAATGTGACATTTTTCGCAAACGATGGGGTACTCAAAACGGGAGATGGAGTGGCGGTTAACCGAGGTAACAGAATAATGCTGGTGTTGTTTCGATGCGAACGGGACAGAGTTGTTGATTGGGATAATATACCATCGCCGCACAGATTTTGGCACCACAACAGATTAGATAATACAGGTTATACAAAGGATACCATATCTGTGGTCTGACCAAATACTACTAGCTGGAGGTTTCAATACTTTGGCCATATATCTCAGCAAATAGGGTATAGCTGCTACAGGATGGTTCCATAAGCGGCTTTCATGGCCATTAAAAGTTAGGAACTGACCAAACATGTGCTTAGCGCCAAGAAATGGAATAGGAACGATAGACCTGTAGGAAATAGTGACCATAGTACCGTCATGTTCAACGTGGTCACAGACAAACTACTTCGCATGGACGAGAACGCAACCAGCTCTAGCTACACTCTACCGCACTGCACGAAGATGAGGGAACATTTTCAGCATGTCTCATGATCGTGCGAATGGTGGATACCGATAGTAGAAGATCGCTGAGAGGTCGTGAGAGATATCATTTATGTTGCGATCCGACAGAATGTGACACGAGGCAAGCACACACCTGGAAAGCGAAGATCCTGGATTAAGCGATGCACGGAACGCTTGCAACAGGAGGACTAAATAGTTTGAAGAAAGTGGAAAATTTCCCTAAAGGATTCAGGTCGCAGCTATTAATTGTCATAAAGAAGTGGATACATCGCCAGTCCGAAGCGGTGAATGTTTCCAGGCTCAAGAGACAGCCAAAATGCAGGCTAACCCTAAATATATTTTCAAATCCATAACCAGGTGAAAACCTGTAAACCAGGGGATCTGTGTCCTTGAAAAGCCAAATAGCAAATGTTCCACCAACTTAGAGATGACGAAAATCCTTAATGCCAGCCTCATGGACCGATCAAACCGGGAACCTGCAAGCGCGGAATATCTCTCGCCTCTGGTGCCATTCCAGGGTTTAGGGGATATTCAACGAACCCCCGTATTAGTAATAAGTAGATAAAGCCCCTGAGTTTGGGAGAGTTACCAGAATGTGACGACATCCGACCCATAGTCCTGAAACAGTCCACGAAAGGCATCAGCACAGCAGTGTGTGACCTACTGAGACACTCACTAGATCCACACCAGCTGTCAAGATAATGAAAGAAGGCCAGTCCTTCTCAAATCTTCAAAGAGGGGGATAGAAAATACCTAGCATGTTATAGACCAGTCGCCTTACTCTCAATACCGGTGTAGGAAATGGACGGACTGGTTACTAAACGAGTGAAGGAATACATAGAGAAAAACATGAATATTAACACGGGTTCAGGAAAGGCAGATCCTGTGAATTCCATCTACTCATATTATGGGGGAACTGAAGGACCTGCTGGGACCATAAGATAGCGGTTTACATAATATTCCTCAATCTTACAAAAGCCTTTGACATAGCACTTCATGTACTTCTCATAGCGAAAGTTGCAAAGATGGGTTGCAGTGATCACCCAGGGGATGGGATGTCTTTCACCAAGGCGATTAGAGTGCACGCGAGTTGGATGGTCTCAACATCAGTAGTTCCACAAAGGACAACCTTAAGTCCACTCCTATTCTTGATCTTTATCAAAATAGGCTCGGCAGCACTGAGTTGTGCAGATGACGTATAGGTCTGTAGGTCTATAAAACATAAAAATGACTCACTTGGACTTTAAAAGACCTTATGGCAACAGAAAAATGTGGAGCAGATGATAGGTTGATAGTTAGACTGTCAAAATGTCAAGACGTACACATTTGACACAAGGTACAAACATCCTCTTTGGAAATCCCCCCTCGACTGTCTATCCTCAGAGCTATCCCGGGGTTGTAACGACAGAGCATACACACTATTTCAAAATACTTAGGGGATGCAGTAAGGCTCTCCAATTTATGAGAGGATGACTTGACTCATTCTGCTCATAGTTGTTCCCAAGTCTCTTTGAAGCGTACCCACTCAATCAGTTTTAAGTCAGCGATTTTGTTTCCGTCCTTTTCTTCAAAAGAGACATAAATTTCTTGGACCAAGTACAGAGGCACGCAAACAAGTGGGCGATAGTATGAAAACATTAGTCTTACGAAGACAATACTTGAAATTATTATCACTGAGCTATAGGAGAGTATTAGGTGATCTGATAATATGATACGATATATTAAGTACACCAATCTATTAAAACAAGAGCATAGTACCAGAACATCACCGTGCTCCTCGAGACAACCCTCGAAGGGACTCACATTAAATAGTGAACACCTAGGTACCCTCTCACGTTTTTGAACGAAGAGTTGACCTCATCTAGAATTCTTTTCCGAGAGAAATGACCACAGCCCCAGTGGATAGATTTTGAAGAAACTTGACAAACCCGTACTTACCCGTGGATTGCCAACTCCCTCGTGAACCTGCTGTCTGATTCATGTCTCAAAAATCGCCGCGGTCATCATTACTGCATGTCAGTGAATACTTCCATTTTCCTATCATTACCTCTGTTTCCTCTCTTGTTCTTTCGTTTTCGTCTACTTGAACGTCACTAACTAGTTAGCTTGTTTATTTATCACTGAAGCTATAGTCTTCTCCTAGAACCTGAATTATCACTTTATCATTTTCACATTGCAACCAATCAAACTCCTGTCCGGTATTGTAATAGCTGCTAGTAGCCAGAAACTCCAGTGCTCTCAGACAAACGCACTCATTTAATTAAAGGATATATAAATCCACAAATAACTACAGCACTAGCTCGAATCATTGAGGTTCGGTGGCTACAGTGCTACCCCTTGTGCATGACTAAATACTTAGAACCTATTGGAATAACAAAAAGCGAGCTTAAAGAAATTATTCAGTTTATACAAATTCGTGACAAAGACATTTAATGTTAGAAATGGCGTTACTGTCGGTCACTAAAAAGTGTTTTAAACCCTGTTAGACCTGACGTTCTGTGTATCTGTCCCCTATTTATCCAATAACTGACTAAGTGATCTGGCTGCTTAAAGTAAACAGCTCAAAAAATATAAAGCTGAAAATTCAGTAACTTTACTGTCGGATGGTTTGACTAGGGCCCAGTAACGTTGTACCGGCCATACATGATAATTTAAAACCACTTATATTTGGAACTCGCTTCGACCTTCATCTGCGCCAAACCGATCCAGCTGCTAGAGTAACTTTGCTCTCCAATATAAAGAGACTTTACAGTGAACTAAAAAATCTGTTACCGGAAAATCATTGCCTACATGCATTACACTGTCTCCAAACTATAGTCCACAGTGAGCACTGCAGAACTATT